GATGGACCGGGGCTTTTGGGTTTAATTATATGAAGGGGAAAAGTATAAGAGGAAATCTTATTTTAGGGAATAATAAACTTGTTGTCCTAGTTAGAAACTTTGTTAGAGCCCGTTTAGTAATACCCAAATCGGCTATATTGGCTGATTCTGCTGAAATTTACGAAGTTATGATTGAAGTGACTGGATTGACTATTTCTGTTGTTTTATGAGAACAATTATATTTAAAATATATTTTATTAATAATATAAAGAATATATTATTTGAAATAAGAATTAAAATAATCTTCTACAGTAACTTTAGCCAATACAGACGGAAAAGTAACTTCAACTTTACTTTTTCTTATTATTATAAAATTCAGCGCACGTAATCAAAAGTTATGTGTTAGGTGAAAAAGGCGGCTAAGAATCCTGATAAGCCGGAAACAATGTCACCAGACGGGCTTTTACTATTTTATTCCCATTTTGGGAAATTTCTTAAAGTTATATAAAACACTTTAACATTTTTTATATATGCAGTATTGGTGCATATAAAAATAAAGTTGGCACTTTTGGGCTATAATTTATTTCTGCAATATTTCTAAATTATTATTTTATTTTATGTATCCAATATTGGTGTAATATGAAAGTTAATAAAAAGTTATGAATATTGATATACTTTTATAACAATCGGAGTATAAAAAAGTTACAACAGGTTAAAAAACTCTCAACGTGTGCCACGTCATCGGGAAACAAGAATTTTTATATTTCGTGGGACCGAATGCGATTTTCTTCGTTTAATATATTACTGTTTTTATAATTATTTAGATATAAACTTTGAAAATTCAAGAGCTAACGGCTTCATATGCAAATTATATAAGGTGAAATTCATAAGAATAATCCCTACTTTTAGGGATACTATAATAATAATTTGTACTCTGAGTGTGCACAAAAATAATACGAAGTTGCAATGCTGTTCATCAGAATACATTAGGGTCAATTCAAATTAATGCTCGTTTAATACTCTCAACACTTACTCTCACTTTTCTCTTCCCCACTCTTCTGTAAGGGCAAGTTCAAACTCAAATATGTTTAATATGAACACCATTTCCGCCATTTGTGGTTCTCTCTATATAGGAACATAAAAGTGTTGACTAAGACGAAGAGTGGTGAGTGAAAGTAGGATTAGGAGTAATAAATGACATTAGTTTGAATTCATTCCAATCGCAAGAATGCCCGAAGGATGAGTTTGATCTTTGGAGATACAAAGTCAAATCACAAACGCATTGAAGATCTAGTTGACTTTATGGCAAAACATACTAAAAACAAGAATACAAATCACGTAATATTCTCGAATTCGGTAATGCTATGTGTACTTATTATTATAATAAATGTTAGTCTTCTATATATTAAGTAATTTAGGATCACGTATTGTTACCCCAATGATTGCCTTCATGTACATGGAAAATAAGGTAACTTACCATATATATTACCCTAATGATTGCCTCTGTATACATTTATTATTATTATTATTATTATTATTATTATTATTATTATTATTATTATTATAATATCAAACACATCTAGTTTGCTTCATATCTTCCTGCCAGATTTTCGTACCCAATTTATATATACTATTATATGGCAATATATTAACATTAACAATGTCTTTAAATTCTTTCTTTGACTGTGCAATAGGTTTTGCACATGCCCAAATTGCCTTCGTATACATTTATTATTCTAACACTATGCAATAGGCATTGAAGATCTAATTGACTTTTTGGCAAAACATACTAAGCAAAAAAAAAATACAAATCATGTAATGTTCTTGCGTCTGGTAATGTTGTGTGTACTAATTATTATGATAATTATTAGTGGTCATATATATTATGTAACCTTTGAACATGTATTGTTACTCTAATGATTGCCTTCACATACATTGAAAATAAAGTAACTTACAATAGTATTAAAATTGCCTCAGAATACATTTATTATTATTATTATTATTATTGTTATAATATATATAATATTTAGTTTGCACCGGATTTTCTTGCTTGATTTTCGTACGCAATTTATATATACTATATATGGTAATATATTAGCAACAAAAATGCCTTTAAATTCTTTCTTTGAATATGCAATAGATATTGGTCGTTCCCAAATTGCCTTCATATATACATTTATTATTGTAACACACACACAAATTTGCTAAAAAGGTGAGGATTGTGGCCTATACATTTAATATTTTAATTACATATGTTAATATATTAACAATGTCTTTAAGGGAAATCTTCAACTATGCATATGCATATACGATAACCAAAACAAAGAGTTTTTTCCCAAAATAATGCTAAATAAAAATAATACGAAATTGGGATTGGGTTTAAAGTATTTCCGAAAAATACTGATGGGCCAAACTAACTGTGATTAAGAAAAATGCTTAGGAAAAAGATAGAACGTAATGTCACTAGCAGCAGAAGAAAGGCACATTTGGTCCACCAAAAATTAAAACTATTACTCCTGCCGGCCCGGAAAGGTTCGCCAAATTAACTTTTCTCGATCAATGGTAGCCAACTTTGACTATAATATTTTTTAACACAGAATTATTTTGAATTCAAAAAATGCTCAGTGGTCTACTCGCACTCCGAAGTGAGTTTGTTATTGGACCCGGTCAAATCTGTGGGTTGGCTTGTGGGTTGAAATTTTAAAATTAATAATAAATAAATAAAATTCAAATTGAAATATTTCCAATCAATTGTTCTTCATTGAAATTTAGTCTTCATCTTAAATTTTCAAATCAATATTTTGATTTGATAGAAAATAAAGAAACGGAAAGCAAGCGGAGGACAAGAAGATGATTAGAGGAGAAGAGGAATTGAAGAAGGAGACAAAGGAAAAGGAAAGGAGAAGCAGAAGAAAAGTAACTGGCTTCACCGGAGAAATAATAGAACAGTGATATGGCTACTGCCAATGACAGAGGGGCAACTACTATCTATGAAGAGGGAGAGAGGGCGATGGATGTCTGTGATCGATGGAGCAGTGCTTTTGGGTTTAATTATATGAAGGGAAAAAGTATAAGAGGAAATCTTATTTTAGGGAATAATAAACTTGTAGTCCTAGTTAGAAACTTTGTTAGAGCCCATTTAGTAATACCCAAATTGGCTATAGTGGCTGATTCTGCTGAAATTTACGAAGTTATGATTGAACTGACTGGATTGGCTAATTCTGCTGTTTTATGAGAACAATAATATTTAAAATATATTTTATTAATAAAATAAAGAATACATTATTTGAAATAATAATTAAGATAATCATCTACAGTAACTTCAGCCAATACAGACGGAAAAGTAACTCCAACTTTATTTTTTCTTAATATTATAAAATTCAGCGCATGTAATCAAAAGTTATGTGTTTGGTGAAAAGGTTGGCTAAGAAGCCTCATAAGCCGAAAACAATGTCACCAGACAGGCTCTTACTATTTTATTCCCATTTTGGGAAATTTCTTAAAGTTATATAATACACTTTTTAACATTTTTTATATATGCATTATTGGTGCATATATATAAATAAAGTTAGCACTTTTGGGCTCTTATTTGTTTTTGCAATATTTCCAAATTATTTTATTTTTATGTATCCAATATTGGTTTAATATGAAAGTTAATAAAAAGTTATGAATTTTGATATACTTTTGTAAGAATCGGAGTATAAAAAAGTTACAACAGGTTAAAAAACTCTCAACGTGCGCCACGTCATCAGGAAACAAAAAAAATTATTTTTGGTGGGACCGAATGTGATTTTCTTCCTTTAATATATATTAGTGTTTTTATAATTATTTAGATATAAACTTTGTAAATTCAAGTGCTAATGGCTTCATAGGCAAATAGAAACTGCATACTAGCTAGTTAGGTCACGCAACACAAATCATATAAGGTTAAATTCATAAGAATAATCACAACTTTTAGGGATTCTATAATAATAATCTGTATGTGTGCACAAAAATAATACGAAGTAGCAAAGGTGTTCATAAGAATATAATAGGGTCAATTCAAATTAATGCTCGTTTAATACTCTCAACACTTACTCTCACTTTTCTCTTCCCCACTCTTCTGTAAGGGCAAATTCAAACTCAAATACGTTTAAATATGTTGTTCTCTCTATATAGGAACATAAAAGTGTTAACTAAGACGAAGAGTGGTGAGTGAAAGTAGGATTAGGAAAGCTGTCTGTCAATTAAAAGGGAAAGTGGCTGCTATTTATAGTAGCCATAAATGCTAGACAAGGACGTGTCAAACATCTGACGGCCGAGGGTCACCTCAATCGGGGTGGCACCGGCATTTGCATGTGCACCGCATTAAATGCGGTGGTTGGACGTGACGCCGCATTAAATGCGGTGGTTGCTTGTCTCTCAAAGGAATCTTCGCCGAGTCTGGTGTATGCCAAAGGCGTAGGTGTGGAATACCGAAGGCAATATATAACTGAAGGTTATATACAGCCGAGGGCGTGGAATAGCCGAAGGCTAACATTTTTCCCAGAAATGCTCAAAAGCTTAGCAGGTCCATATCAAGTTGCCTTCTACAATTTGGAGCCTTCGGCCATAGGGCCGAAGGCATTTACATGTGCAACGTGGGCTTCCTCATGCTTGGGCCACTTTGTTTGGTCTTTGTGTGTTCATTGGGCTTGATGGGCCCGTGTAGGAGGAGCAGGAATCTGTGGGCCAGGGGTCCCGGGCCATGTACTCCATCAGTCACGTAACACAAATTATATAAGGTGAAATTCATTATAAGAATAATCCCTAATTTTAGGGATTCTATAATAATAATTTGTACTCAGAGTGTGCACAAAAATAATCGAATAAATTCCACTTTTGATCCTACGAGTATCACACCAATTCCACAATTTATCCACATCTTTGACTTTGACCACTTTTGGTATATAACTATTGTGTTTTCACTCATATATGGTCCTTCGGTGTAACGCCCCTCTCAGGGTTAAAGGAAACGTTACATAAACTTACTACTAAAAAACTGCAATATAACGACCATTTGTTTAAGAAATAACCCTGATCAAATCTCAAATATTACAAAAATATAGCTCCAAATAAAAACTCAATACAATCTAGTTATCACCAGCAAATGTGATAACCACCTGGATCCAGGAATTTACTAAAACTTCAAATCCTCAAATAAAATAAAACAAAATAAAGTAACAATAATCACTTTATTATAACATCTGAAATACTTAAATAAAATAATAACTAGCTAGAAGTCGTCAAGGTCGTTCCCGTTAACTCATTTCGGCACGCGTTCCACTCTCTCATCATCTTCCTAGGCCTTGGCCTTACCTTTAATATTTGTACATGCGAAGAAAGAAAATTGATAAGCTTTACGCTGAGTAAGTCACTATGGATCCACAAAAATATCTGAGAAGTCTATGCTAATTTATCAATAGATAAATTTAGGCTATAAGCATGCACTAAACAAACAACTAACAAATTGCTTCTCAAATAAATTCAGAGAGAAATTCCAAAAGTATATATTTTCTAAAATAATTTCTCAAAACTACTGAAGTGAACTCATAATTTCTTTCTCAAAACACCTCTGTAAAACTTTCTGAAAGGGAATCTCATAAACTTTCCGTAAAACTCTTTGTGGTTAATTTTAACTGTGGGCCCGTGATATGTACTCAAAGGCGCCAATCCAGCAGCTCAGGGGAGCGACCCACTAAACATATTTGACTCTCTGAAACTGATAAACTGATAATCTGAGGGAACTTGTTCCCGAGTACATATCACCTGATCTTTCACTTTAAATATTAGTTCTTTTTATAGTGACGTTTGGGTAAAAACATCATTAAATCTTGAAATAAAGTACTGACATAATCTTGATTGTGCCAGATAATAAACATAACTTAATACAACAATTACAATAACTCATCAAATAATTCACCAAGCTCACATAATAGCAAATAGTCTAAAATCATCTGCTAAAAATCAACCAGACTTCTTTCTTTCATTTGGTTGAACAAACATGTACAGGTGGTAGTGAACTTACCTATAAGGAGCTGAACTCGAAATACACAAATAAATGTGACACCTTGATAACGTCTTTCGGTAAGCTCTTCTCTTATATCTTTAATTAAATGTAATTATGAATTACAAATGTGCTAAGTAAGAAACAAAAATCTATGTTACTATGTACTGAGTGTACAAATATTACTGAAAATTTCTCTTGAGTAAACCTTAGGATGTGTCTACTGGGCATACTAAACCTTAGGACTTAATTTCTCTTGCTACTATGAATAACTAAAAATTGAAGATGGATTGGCTTATCAAACCAAATTACAGTACCACGTACTTAGTGTACAAATATTTTGACAAACCAATGAAATTCTTTTCATAGTAGCTCAAATTTGGTATTTATGGAGCTTTTAAACTAAAAAGAAAACAACTTTTCAGTTCAGTGTTTCTGTAAAACTTTAACATTCAAATTTAACTCAATTCTTTCAAACAAAGGTTACAATTTGATACAAGAAGAACAAAAAGGTTTAACCGTTCCTATTAAAGAAAACTCATGAGATTCTAGCCAATGGTTTCAGCATCAAAACCAAAGATTAAACAAAATTTTAACTAAGAGCCAAATCATAGCAACAATACTTGTCCGGTCGAAATAGTCCCCTGTTTCAACGAAAATTGAACATCACAAAAGTAAAATCATTTATCATCCAAATCCAACCAGAAAATATTCTTCTTTAGTTACTAAAATCTCTCAAGTGACCAGTTATTAAACTCACGATTAAATCTCATTATACTATAACAAAAACTGAAATCGATTGTACTATAACCAAAACTCTGTAATTGAAACGTACTGACTGAAAGATCGATTAAATGTTATTTAACTATTATAATCAAATTTGAAGTCAATTGTAAAAGAATGATCTAGACAGCCCCTCCTTGGCCTATACTAAACAATTCATTTTGAATCAATATATCCAAGTTCCAAATGAAGAAGATACAGCAGTACCATAGCCAACCAAAATTAACTGAACTTGCTATTATTCTGTTTAAATTTTCGGAGAAGGAAAATAAGGTGGCTGCTCTATGAATAGAATATAAACCTCCCCAAATCCTAGTGAAATAGCAGCAGCACCTTTGCACGTTAGTTTTTTTTTTTACAAAACAATCCCATAACTTGAATTGACAGGGTTCACTTATTTTTGTAGAAAAAGGCTGCTAAAGTAGAAGTTTCAGATCAGGAAATTTAAACTCATGAATCTGTAATCAAAAGATTTATAGATAGAAACAGGGCTAGAGTAAAAGAAATATCAAACTTTACTGATGTGAGGAGAGAACAAACAGTAAGACCAGGTATTCCGATATAAATTTGGAACAGTGGGATAAATTTTCAGAGAAGAGAAGAAAAACAGTAGACTGTTGCGGGAGAAAGAATGCACATGTGCTCTGATATTTTTCTTAGGGTTGCTATATGTATATTTACATACGTATACCTCTAGTGGACTTTAAAATAAAATGCAAATTCGGCCAAAATAACTCATTTGGTTCATTTTATAAATATGTTTCCGGCCCAAAAAAAATTAACCTTTCTAAAAAAACTGATTAATCTTTAAAACATTACTTATTTCTTCACTTAAAATTATTAGAGCTTACTGGTCAACGTTACTTGCCAGAACAACACGTGATAAAACAATAAATCACATTAGTCATAGAATAAATTTATTTAACTAACTAAAATAAATAACATTGATTAATATCACTAGCTCATAAAAATCGGGGTGTTACAACCCCTCCCACCTTATAAAAGTTTCATCCTCGAAACTTAGAACAACTCAGGATAACGACGTCTCATGTCATCCTCAACCTCCCAAGTAGTTTCTTCAACTTTGTGATTTCGCCACAACACTTTTACTAGAGCTATCTCTTTATTCCGGAGACGTCGAACCTCTCGGTCAAGGATTTGTACTGGCTTCTCCTCATATGATAAATCTTTTTGTACTTCTACTATTGGGGGTATCAAAACATGCTTTGGATCAGCAAAGTATTTCCTCAACAAGGAAACATGGAAGACATTATGAATGCCAGAAAACTCTTCAGGTAGCGTGAGCTCATAAGCTACCTTCCCAACTCGTCTAGTGATCTCATATGGTCCAGTGAATCTGGGGCTAAGCTTTTCTTTCTTTCCAAACCGCATCACACCCTTCATCGGGTATCAAAACATGCTCTGGATCAGCAAAGTATTTCCTCAACAAGGAAACATGGAAGACATTATGAATGCCAGAAAACTCTTCAGGTAGCGTGAGCTCATAAGCTACCTTCCCAACTCGTCTAGTGATCTCATATGGTCCAGTGAATCTGGGGCTAAGCTTTTCTTTCTAAAATATGATTTGTCCTCTCCGTCTGGCCATCTTTCTGAGGATGAAAAGCAGTACTAAACTTCAACTTCGTGCCCAATGATTGTTGTACACACTTCCAAAAGTGAGACGTAAATCTGAAATCTCTGTCTGAAATAATACTCTTTGGAACATCATGCAATCTAACAATCTCCTGTATATATATTTTTGCCAACTTCTCCAAAGAAATACTTGTTGAGATCGGGATAAAATGGGCAGATTTAGTCAATCTGTCCACTATAACCCATATAGCGTCATAACCTCCAGTTGTCTTCGACAAACCCATAATAAAGTCCATTGATATCTCATCCCATTTCCACTCCGGAATCTGGATAGGCTGAAGTTCTCCACCTGGTCTTTGATGTTCAGCCTTAACTTGTTGACACGTCAAACATGACTGAACGAACTTTGCAACATCTTTCTTCATCCCAGACCACCAAAAGTTTTTTCTTCAAGTCGTGATACATCTTGGTCGAACCAGGATGCATAGTGAATGGTGTCTCATGAGCCTCCTTCATAATCTGCTTCCTCAACCCCTCAATGTCCGGGATGCACAACCTGTTTTGGAGTAATAATCTCTCATTCTCATCCAAATGAAACTCAGGACATTTTCCTTCCTTGACGCACTCCTTCAACTTAACTAACTCGGGATCAAGTTTTTGCTTCATAGCCATGTCCTCAAATATTGATGGAGTCACTGTCATAGCTGCTAGTCGCCCACCTACAATCTCCAACTCAAAATCTTCAATTTCCTTCCTCAGCCTTGGATCCATTACCATCATGGACATTAATGTTGCAGAAGACTTCCTACTAAGTGCATCTGCTACCTTGTTGGCTTTCCCCGGATGATAGAGGATCTCACAATCGTAGTCAAATTAAATCGGGAAGGCAGTCAAATGATTTTCTGAAATGTACTGCGCTGTTTAACTGCGCAGTTATCTTCAAAAACTCATTTGACTGCATTCCCGGTTGAAGTTTTAGCTGAAATTTTGTATGAGTAAACTAGACTTAATGAAGAATATGCTCAAAAAAATTCATCAAAAAATTCCACTGGGAACTTCCCCAATTGGCTACGGCCGGACAGAACCTCCTATATAAGGGGCTAATTGAACACTTTAAGTTAATTCATGTACCTATTTGACCTTTTAGCCTTAAATTTGTTATTTTGTTAGAATACATAAATTAGATTACATAATCAATTTACAAATGTTTACCATAGTTGGTCTTTGCTCTACAATGTTGGAGAAGCATGACGTGTGGCTCGGTCGAAGTCAAGGTCAAATTTTTCAAAGCTTGAGCATACTCACTCCATAGTGTACACGACAATTGCTTTTTACTGTTGATAAAAATATGGAAACAACAAATGCAATATTTAGCAACTCATATAAATTCATAATATAAATTAATAATTACGTCTAAAAGATTATTCTGGTGCGGGCTTATACTCCAAATCTTCTAGGATAAATTCTGCTGCTCTCGGCAATCCATCTGGTTGCAAGGAATATTTGATGGTCTCATACTTAAACTTTCCAATTGTATCTGTAAAAACCGAAGAAGGAAAAAAGTTGAGTTCTGCAAAGATAAATCCTTTAAAATAAATGCAATGTTATAAGGTATTACCGAATAAGTCATCTCCAGCTCTCATGTGCGTATTTATAATCTCGGTGATATTTTTTATTGAATACAAATCCCTAGGGAATTCCGTCTCTAACGAAAGATCACGCTCCTTGATCTTTGTGTTCTCCTTAAAATATAACCTGAAAGGATGTGAAGTAGGCCTGTAATCACAGTTATTAGCCCTAACTTCAAAACGCATCATTCCATAAAGACCATGCTCCTTAATTTTGTCCTTAAAGGTAGAAACATGAGCATTTTCAACTGTAGCTTGTATGCGTGTTCCCGGCATGAATATTAAAAACAAAAACAATTGATTAAGCTTGTTTTTTGTCCAAAGTTTGTCAAAAAAAACAAAGCAGGCGCCATTACTGTCCAAAGTTTGTCAAAAAAACAAAGCAGGCGCCGTTCGTAGGTATATTAGTTAGGGTCCTTTCACACTTGAAGAAAATACTAACCAAAGTCTTCGCAGATCAATTAAATCATTCATTGTATATTTTTAGAACTTTAAGTATAAAGGGTGAATAATAGACATGACTATGCAAAAGGAAATTGAAGGAAAAACAAAAACAAACAAAGAAAGCAAAAACAGGGTGTAAACAAGTCTTAGGCAGGACCCTTTGTAGAGTATAATATGTCCATTTATCCATTTTTACGGTTTATTCACATGTTTTAACAGAAAAGGTCATTTGGTGCTCTACTTTCAAAAAAATCATTTGACAGCAAATGGTTAAAACACAAAAAAAAAACAAAATTGGCTCGTCGTCCTTTTTCTCCTTCATTTTTTACAGATTCACTACCCAAGATAGCGGCTCTCACTCTCCGTGCTTTAAAAGAACAGGCGTTTTTTTTTTTGTGTTTTAACCATTTGCCTTCAAATGAAGGAGAAAAAGGAGGATGAGCCAAATTTTTTTGTGTTTTAACCATTTACTGTCAAATGCAATTTTTTGAAAGTAGAGCAGCAAATGACTTTTTTTGTTAAAACATTTGAATAGAGAGTAAAAATGGATAGATGGACATATTATACTCTACAAAGTGTCCTGCCTAAGACTTTTTTACACCTTGTTTTTGCAGATATAGGTATATAAAGATGCTTTAGAGCTATATAATGTAATGAATGAACTCTACAGTTTGGATTCTTTAATTGCCTACAATTTCAGAAAGTACTTAACTTTATGTTGAAGTTTATTAGGTTCTTAACCACTAACAAAGCTGGTTAGTAAATTCTTTGTTCAAATTGAGGTTAGAAATTGCATATAGTATTGCTAACCTCCTTTATTTATTAATCCTGCAATTTCAGAAAGTACTTAACATTTATATTGAAGTTTATTAGGTTCATAACCATTAACAAAGGTGGTTAGTAAAGTCTTTATTCAAGTTGAGGTTTGAAAGTGATAATGGTTTTTTGATCTGAAAAGTCTTTGTTCAACTTAGGAAGTGATTTAACTTATACCAGTTTCAGAAAGTGAAAATGTTCTTTGTTTTTAAACTGGAAAAATCTTTGTCCAAATTGAGGTTACAATATCAGTCAAATACGAAGTAATATATGGCACTGATCACACATTAAGATGTCAAAGCTGTGAGAATTGCATTGTGCTACATAGTTTCTAAAGTTTGGAAAGCAAAATGCAGATAGTATTGCTAACAGTATGCTAGCAAACATGGTTCATAATACACAATATAAGCAAGAAAAAAAGTTGCAGTATGCATTAAAAAAATTGCAGTAAAATACACCAGAGTATATAATGTAATGAATGAACTCTACAGTTATTGAAATATTTTTCTAATCATGAACATTTTTTCTATGTAGTTGAGTCAAATACCTTGCTAATGGCCTCTTCCCTTCAACATAAGACACTATTGAAAAATAATAATACTTTAAAGTACCTCTGCACCAGACTTCACTATATCATTTCATTCCTCTTTAGAGTTACTTTTTACATCATTTACACATACTATGAGTAACCAAGAATGAGAGTGAATTTGCCGAAATCAGTGTACTATTCATTATTTTTTTCATGTTTTAGCCCATGAAGATAACAAAACAATCTCTCAAAAAACTATTTAGTAGACTTTGTAGTTATAAGACTCATAACGTAGGGGGGATTTTCCAGAAAAATTGCATTTTATATCACTACCATAAATACCTATATATGACAACAGTTTGGGTGAACTTGTGGAAAAACTAACAAAAGAAGGAAAAAAAATTCAAGGCATTGCTTGAGGTGTGTATATGTAGGTATGTATATATAGAGATAGTGATATAGTATGTGAAATGTTAGAGATACACACCGGTAGAGATAAATTTGATGTTTACAGAGACATTCATGTTTTGTTTTAAGTCTTAGCCCATGAAGATAACAAAACAATATCTCAAGAATATTTTTTTTACAAAATCTGCCTTCATAGTACTTTGTTGTTATAAGACTCATAATGAAGGGGGGTTTCCAGAAAAATTGCACATAAGTTCACCACCAAAATATCTATATATGACAATAGTTTGGGTAAACTTATGGAAAAATAACAAAAACAGAAATAAAAAAGAAGGAAAAGGGGATTGACTACATTCAAATACATACTACAGTTACTACTTAGAATTATAACTTGACAGGAGCTTGACAGGGTGATCTTCCTCATGCTTTTAAGTCAATCTAAGCACATAATTCAAATGCATCCTGATCCCACATAACTATCCATTTCAAAATTTAACAACATGACACACTGCTATAACAGTTGGATAAAGTAATTATAAGCACATTAGACTCATTATGTGTTGTTGACCTTAACAACTAAGTCAGATTAAAAACCTGAATGTGACATTTTTACAAACACCTTAAATGCACTAAAAACTGAGAATCATAGAACTGTATAGTTTGACACTCCATCTCAGTTTCTTTAAATACACTCAATAATAAAGAAGAATAATAAGAGTTGTACCTCCTCAATGAGAACCATTTCAATCATATACGGCTCTAAGGAATTTCCCTTGTTACGCACATTCCATCTACGTACTACTCTCAGCAACAACACAGCCTTATCGTCCTGCTGCGTATTAACATTCTTCAAAACAGCCTTGTAGGGAGCACGGTCAGCCATTGGGAAATCGATAGAGATGATATACGGCTTCCTCTAATTTTAGAGTTTGACGAATTTAAGGGGGAAATTCAGATTGATAGTGCAGATGACATCTATATAAATACTAAGTATAAAGAGTTTGAATTCAGATAGAATACTAACCGAGATGGACTCTCCAAGGCTTGAGGGGAAGCAATTCCAATGTTTTCGGCGAAACCAAATATGCGTAAGAGTCCAGATTGTAGCTGCGATTGAAGTAGTAGGAGTCCAGATTGAACACAATACTCGACATTGTAGAGGTGATTGGAAGGTAGCAGGAGTCCAAAAGAACATAAAGAAAGAAACGTCAGAGAGTGAAACGTAAGAAGAAATAGCCGTGATTAATAGAAATTAGTGTAATTACGAAATGCCCGTGCGGGTGAGCGGGAACTAGCTTAACTCACTTAATATATATATATATATATATATATATATATATATATATATATATATATATATATATATAGATATAGATATAGATATAAATATAAATAAAGATATAGATTTAAATATAGATTTCCCCCTCCCTCATTTTTAGGAATCCCAAACAATAATTTTTTTAATCCATATCCATCTTTTGGCAGTTACTACTCCGTATAATGGAATTGATTGATTCCTTATTAATTGGCACTCGACGGTTACCCCAAATGAATTAATTCATATTCATTCATTATTAAATTGGCAACATGATTGGAATTAAATAAAATCACAAAGGCACATGCATTACCATGCACTTATGCAAGCATTACAAAAAGAAGAAAAATTAGTAGAGTCATATTTTGGGAACATCTTCTTCTTTTAGTCATATGAGAGATAATTTCTCAATAATAAACGGGGTTTTTACAAAAATATTACTAAAGTAAAACTTTTATACAAAAATATGACTATTAGTTACTATAATGTAGTGTTATAGTAACTTAAATTTAAAAAATGAACATAAATTATTATAATTTATAGACACTTCGAATAGAGATTATTATTGTATAATCCATAAAAGTAAGGATTATTCTTGTGAATTTTGCGAACATATATGTCATAAAATGTAAATTATGAAGTGTAAAACAAGACTATATATCAAGAAGTTAAATTTAAGGTAGATTTTATGGTACACATAAGGTATCATACCTTTTTCCACATGAACCAATGGGAATGTAGCAGTTGAATTATTTAAATCTAAATTAAAAATGATAAATTGGTGTGGTCCAATCAAATGAATGACAGGTACGATACCTCATTTTTTAGAAAGGCACCGGAGTTGTCACCTAAATTTAAAGATGCTTTAAAGTTTAAAGACGGGATGACTTTTGATCTTTAATTTGCGTAATTGTATCCTTGAGAATGTAGAGATGGTGCATGCAACGTGAGCACTGACGTGGACGAGGCCAAGCTCTGCTATAAGAAGTCTCCGTGACAATGCAAAGGAACCACAACTGTGACTGAAGCATGGCCTCCAACCAGCAGCAGCAGCAGAAGAAAGAGCTTCATATAGTTATGTTTCCATGGCTTGCTTTTGGGCATATCACCCCATTCCTGGAGCTCTCCAAGTCCATTGCAGCAAAGGGTCACAGAATCTCCTTCATTTCCACTCCTCGGAACATAGATCGCCTTCCCCACCTCCCACCCGACCTGGAATCCTCAATTACCATGGTCAAGATCCCGCTTCCTCGCGTCGATGGGCTGTCGTCTGCGAACGCGGAGGCCACAATGGACATTCAACCGGAGGAGATGCCTTACCTCAAAGAAGCCATGGATGGCATGGAAACAGAGGTGACTCGTTTCTTGGAGAGAACATCCCCTGATTGGATCATCTTCGACTTCGCCCAGCACTGGATCCCACCTCTTGCGGCCAAACTTGGGATTTCTCGGTGTTTCTTCATCACCCTTAGCCCCTGCTTCACGGCTTTCTTCTCTGACGAATTCAGGATGAGTTTGTCCTCACCGTTAAAGATTGAAGACTTCTTAGCCCGCCCAAAGTGCATTACCTTTGAGACAAAGGCTAGATTCCGGCGGTACGTACCATACGCACTTAACAGTTAGGATAGAAGTATATGATAAAAGTCATTTGTATGCTAATCAAGGAGAGCTAGTTTTCTATATAGGATTAAAACAATAAACAAGTGCACAAATAAGACTTCCATTTTTTATAGGATTAAAAGTACATTGACTTGACAAAATTACCCTTGATGAAATTCTAAATTAATATATAATTAAAAATACAAAACTGCCCATATGTGCCCAGCCGCCGTTGTCTTGTGCAGAAACTGCCGCTGCCCTCTGGTGTCACTGCTGTTCGCCGCCACCCTCTAGCGTCATGGTTGTCTGCCGCCTCCCTCTGGCGTCACAGCCGTCCAGCGCCGCCCTCTGGCCCCACTTTCGTCCACCGAATCTGTCATGAAGTTGGCAAAAATTTTAAATAAGCATAAAAGGAACGTTTTTCTGCCATAATATTACCACCAGTATACGCGTGATTGCCATTAATTTGGCAAAAAAGCAGGCAATATCAAAACTAGAAAAAATCGATTCCAAAATGAAATTACAACTTTAATGAAATCTTAATTTAAAATATTAAGTTGGCTTGCAAAAATCGAAAATTGAACAAATATGAACATACCACCCCAATTTTTCATTAAACATGGCAGTTTGTCTAAAAAACGAGAATTCTTTTTGCCATAATGTTATCATCAAATCTGCCATAAAGATGGCAATACTTTCAAATCGATGTAAAAATTCTGCCATAACATAATTATAAAAAGTTGCACAAAATCACCAAAATTTTGGTCAAAATTTTGGCAAACACAAAGCCAATGTCCAAAATCGGGAAAACCAAAACTTTAATTGAAATCAAAAATTAATGGAATCACAAAAATCAACAACGAGACCAGTCAAATAAATTGACGCCACAACTCAAAAAATTAATGAAATCTGAAATTTCTTCTGAAAAAAACAAAAGTAATGAAACGAAATCTGAAAATGCAGACAAATAACACATGAGAAGATGAAGAAGTAGAAGAAGAAGATGGGAGGAGTGGAAGAAGAAGAAAAAAACAGGAGGACGAAGGACATACCATTCGAGCGAGCTTGGGATGGAAAAAATAGGTGGCGGCGGCAGAAGAAGAAGCGGAGAAGAGAAGAGGAGCGCGGCTGCGGCGAATAGGAGCGGCCGAGAGAGCCGATCTAGAGAGCACAGGTGAAGCAGCCATGGCCCAAGGGAGAGTCCATCGATCAAGAGGGGAGTGGTGCGATTAATTCCTAGGGTCTTCATTTAATTATATAGAAGAGTATTATGGTAATCCGGAGTCCTATTTAGGGAATACAAAACATATGGTCCTATTTATGCATTTAACTTTACTTTTAATCTTATATAGGACAATTACTTAATTAACAATTATGTACAGGTACGAGGTAAAGTGGATTCTCAGCTCGCAACCGAAAGTGTTCGCTAAAACTGATATGGACCGGCTTATTGCAGTGAAGACAGGTTCAGATCTACTAATCTCCAGACACTGCAACGACTTCGAACCTAAGTGGGTTAATATGCTGGAGACTAGCCATGGCCGTCCATTACTTCCCACAGGGTTACTGCCGCCAACAGTTCATGTTAGTGATGATCTTGAAAGAAACGAAGCTTGGGTTTCCATTAAACAGTGGCTAGATAGACACAAAAAATGCTCTGTGGTCTACGTGGCACTCGGGAGCGAGGTGGTTACCGGACCCGGTCAAATATGTGAGTTGGCTTGCGGGTTGGAAGAGAGTGGGGTTCCTTTCTTTTGGACTTTGAGGACTCCACGAGGGAACCACTCATCATTGGGCTTGCCAGATGGGTTCGAAGAGAGGGTCAAAGGACGAGGAGTAGTGTGGAAGACTTGGGTCCCTCAGAAGAGCATACTAAGTCATGATTCAATCGGCGGGTTTTTGACTCATTGTGGTTGGAGTTCTATCATTGAGGGAATCACATTTGGTCACCCACTAGTCATGCTTCCCTTCTTGTATGACCAAGGGATTACTGCTCGTGTTATGGAGGACAACCAAGTCGGCATTGAAGTCCCGAGAGATGAAGAAGACGGGGCATTCACGAGTGACTCAGTGGCTGACTCTGTAAGGTTCGTGATGCTGGATAGCGAGAAAGGGATGAAAGTCCGAGAGAACCCTCGGAGGATGAGTTTGATCTTTGGAGATAAGAAGTTAAATGACAAATGCATTGAAGATCTAATTAACTTTTTGAAAAATCATAGGAACAAAATAAAAAAATCTATTTGAATCCTTGTTTTGGTATGCATTTGAATCCTATTTTGAATTGGTAAGAATAAGAATACAAATAATGTAATGTTGTTCGGTTTGGCAATGTTTGGCTTATTCTGTTTGATGTATGCGCTTCTCATAAATATTGTAATAAATCTTCAGTTTTCTTGAATAATTATATAACGTGTCTTAGAGATCTGTTTGGTATATGTATGACTTCATTATTCACTGACATAATGGAAACTATCAAGATATGTACAATAAGGGGAAATAACAGGAAGAATTTTTTCTGAAAACAGGATTACAACTTCATCCATCCACCATCATCCTACATCGGGTGAATAATCATTTAATAAATGAAAGCAATTCATTAACTTCTCCATTACTTAAACTTCTCAGATCAAGATTTAGAGGGGTGTGCAATTTCTAGGTTGTTTCCAATAATCCTTTTTATTACAAGGAGGTAAGTTTTGCTATAGTCAAATTTATTACAAGGTTGGTCAAACGGAAAATGCTCCCCTAGCAAAAAGACACTGTGAGGCTTGGGGACCGAAACTTCACATTCAAATAGGTGATAGTTGAAATCACCAAATAGCAAAATTCGGGACATCAGGAATAGAATAAGGCCTGCCTACTTTTATGGTTTTATGCTGTGAAGATATATACTGAACATCAAGTTTTTACCCTTCTGATAAAAAAAATCCAAGTTTTGACACCCATGGTCAATTTCTAGGTCCTCCCCTAGTAGCAATAGGGGTGGATTCGATTCGGGCCACCCGGCCCGTGACCCGGCCCGGCCCGCTACTGTGCGGGCCCGGGACCGGCCCGGTCTGGAGGTCCGGGACCGGGTGTAGACCCGAACCGGTGGGGATGGGTGGGGCGGGCTCGGTTCCGGAAAAAGTTGACCCGGCCCGGCCGGGTCGGGCCTGGGTCCGGGTCCAACGGTCAATTTTAAAAAAAAAATGTTTTGGCCAAAATAGCTGTTGGGGGTGGGCTGGGGACAACCCAAACGGCTATATAGCCGTTGGGTGGGGTGCAGGGGGGTCCGGGGGGTTTGGGGGTGGGGGTGGGGGTGGGGGTGGGGGGTGGGGGTTAAAAAACCTATAAATACTCCTAATCTTAAACATTTTTCATATCTCTTCTCCAAATCTTCCTAAATCCTATTCTTAACTCTCTACTCTCTAATTCTCTTATTCTCCAATATATTATATTTATTATTTATATATCTACTTTATATTAATTATCTACTTATAATTTATTAATACATACATTATAATATTACATTACTTATACTCCCTCTGTCCCTAAATAAAAGCATCTGTTTCCTTTTCGAGCCGTCCCTAAATAAAAGTTCCCTTTCCTTTTTTGGCAAACAAAACAGTGCAAAACAGTGCAAAAAAGTGCCAAACAGTGTCCAAACAGTACCAACCAAACCCACTTTCTTAAGATGTGTGTAAAATGAATGGATACTTTTATATAGGGACGGAGGGAGTATTTGTTATCTAATTATATATTACTTATTCCTTTAACTATATCTATTAATATAGTTGGAATTATATCTAATTAATTTGAAGTCATTCTATTACTCCCATCCGAAAGACCGAAAGTCCGAAAGAGGTACGAAATTATTCTATTATTTACACTTGTTTAATTTTGTATTAACGTTACTTGAAAAAAAAACTAGTTAATTCTCATAATAGTTAAAGTTAAACTATAATAATTTGATTGTTAGTAAACTTTAAAATACTAATTTGCTATAACTCGAATTAATAGTTAGATTAATAGTTAATTATTTTATTACAATTTTGTATTAATTGCTACATTTGACTCTAGTTTAAAAAACTAGTTAATTCTTATTATAGTTAAAGTTAAAGTATATTAATTTCATTGTTAGTAAAAAATAGGTTGTACACAAAACTAGTTAATTCACTAGTTAATTTGATTAAAGTAAACTTTAAAATACTAATTTACTATAACTCGAATTAATAATTAGATTAATAGTTAATTACTTTATTACAATTTTTTATTAATTGCTTCATTTGACTCTAGTTTAAAAAACTAGTTAATTCTCATTATAGTTAAAGTTAAAGTATATTAATTTCGTTGTTAGTAAAAAAAATAGGTTGTACACAAAACTAGTTAATTCACTAGTTAATTTAATTAAAGTAAACTTTAAAATACTAATTTGCTATAACTCGAATTAATAGTTAGATTAGTAGTTAATTACTTTATTATAATTCTTTATTAATTGCTACATTTGACTCTAGTTTAAAAAACTAGTTAATTCTCATTATAGTTAAAGTTAAAGTATATTAATTTCATTGTTAGTAAAAAAAATAGGTTGTACACAAAACTAGTTAATTCACTAGTTAATTTGATTAAAGTAAACTTTAAAATACTAATTTGCTATAACTCGAATTAATAGTTAGATTAATAGTTAATTACTTTATTATAATTTTTTATTAATTGCTACATTTGACTCTAGTTTAAAAAACTAGTTAATTCTCATTATAGTTAAAGTTAAAGTATATTAATTTCATTGTTAGTAAAAAAATAGGTTGTACACAAAACTAGTTAATTCACTAGTTAATTTGATTAAAGTAAACTTTAAAATACTAATTTGTTATAACTCGAATTAATAGTTAGATTAATAGTTAATTACTTTATTACAATTTTTTATTAATTACTACATTTGACTCTAGTTTAAAAAACTAGTTAATTCTCATTATAGTTAAAGTTAAAGTATATTAATTTCATTGTTAGTAAAAAAAATAGGTTGTACACAAAACTAGTTAATTCACTAGTTAATTTGATTAAAGTAAACTTTAAAATACTAATTTGCTATAACTCGAATTAATAGTTAGATTAATAGTTAATTACTTTATTACAATTTTTTATTAATTGCTACATTTTTTAGATGGATCGTCCTAGATATTCAGTTGATATGGGTAACCTCGAGCGCAACCGAACGAAAGAGCTTGCGAGGAAGAGATCCCGCAAAGGTAAATCACATATCGGCTCTTCATCTCAAGGTCGAGATGATTTTGATACGGGTTACGCAAGGAGGGATGGGAATGCGATGACCGACGAACAACTAGAACAAGAATTGCACTGACATAATTCCCGCTTTTTTCAAGACCAACCGAGGACCATTGACGAAGAAGAGCTCGAGGACGAGGACGACGATGTGGAGGAAGTAATTCCAGAGAGCCACGACGACGGGGAGGAGGAGGGTGGCGGCAGCCATGACGCTGACCAGTCTGGCTCATCCCAAACAGGTACGAAAGAAAGTAAATCTGAACTAATGGCTAATAATTTTTCTAAGTTGCGGGAATTGGACCGCAACTTGCAATTGGTGCAAGAAAAACTATAGCTTGGGGATTTCTGGCGGATACGGATCTGCCACAAGACACCTTAAGTCCAAACACCCGGTGGAGTATGCAAAATTAGGTGGCGGAACGGGGAAGCAAACTCAAATATCGAGGTTTGCAAATAACCAACAAACTTTTGGTAATTTCTCATACAATGATGCACAAAATTTGACTGGTATGGCTAACTTACTTGTTGAAGAAAATTTGTCTTATTTGTTTTCTGAAAGTGTTGCTTTTCGTGATTATGCACAAACTTGTTTAAATCCGCAATATAGAGGTTATAGTCGCAAAACGGTTAAGAAAGAAATTTCAAGGCTTTATGGTGCGGAAAAGGTAAGGTTACAAAATTATTTTGCAAACTTTGATGGACGTGTTACTGTATGTTCTGACATATGGGAGGATATTTATCATAATTTACATTATTTGGGTCTGACTGTACATTATGTTGATAATGATTGGCATATGCATAAAAGTGTTCTTGCTTTCTGTTAATTTAATGATCGTTACACCGTTGAACATATTTATATTTTGATTGAGCGTAGTTTAATTGAATATAATTTAATTGATAAGGTGTTTGCTATTGGTTTTGATAATGCTACTAATAATACTGCTGCTATTCCTAGATTGCGTGAATTGTGTGGTTCTACTTCTTTGATGGGTAGATTTTTTCATCAACGATGTGCATGTCATGTTCTAAATTTATGTGTGCAAGATGGTCTAAAAGCGTTGGGAGCATCGTTGGAGGTAGTCAAGGGGGGGATTAGACGTATTTGGGGTAATGGACAACTTAGGAAAAAATGGCATGATTATTTGATAGAAAGAGGTGAAAGATATGTGACTTTACCTAAAGATTTATCTATTCGTTAGAATAGTACCTATAAGTTAATTGGAGTTCTTCTTAGATATAAACAACATTTTCCTGCTTTTATGAAACAATATGATAACTATATTATAAACTCGGCTGAGATCGACACCTGTGGAAAAATTTGCAATGCTTTGATATATTTTAATAATGCAACTGAAACTTTTAGTCATGTTTATAAACCTACCTCAAACCAATTTATTCGTGAAGTTGTTAATCTCGCCGGTGCTTTTTCAAATTTTGAGAATGCTGATTATGTGAGTTATTTTGCTAGTTTTATGAAGTAACAGATTTTAAAATATTATTCACATATTCCGCATATTTATGGTATTGCATTTGTTTTCGATCCTCGTTTTAGACTTGGTTCTTTAGAAGAATGTTTGAATTATTATTATGCTGCTTTTTTTGGTCCATTGCCAATGTATGAGGACAACCCAATTGATCCGAAAAAAGAATACAACGAGGTTAGTGATATATTTTATGCATTATTCAATGAGTTTCATGCACAATATGGCAATGCGCCCCCTCCCCCGACAGAAACATCATCTAAAGGAAAATCAATTTTCAAATCTACATTTGCCAATCTTATTAAAAAAAAACGAAATCAACTCCCGCTACGCAACAAAGCACAATTAATGAGATTTCTTTGTATTTAACATATGATGTTGATTTTGAAGAAGATGATGATTTTGACGTACTAAACTAGTGAAAGGGAAAAGAAAGAATGTTTCCGGTTTTAGCAAAGATGGCTAAGCAAGTGCAATCAATGCCGGTTTCAACGGTTGCCGTGGAACAAGAATTTAGTTCAACCGGCAATGTCCTAACACAATGTAGAACGAGGTTGAGCGCAGAATCTCTTGAGATGCTTATATGCTACCACGATTGGTTGAAAGCGGCCCATAGAGCTCAAGAAATTGACATCACCCCATCCCAACACTTTATGGATAAATCTACACCCGAGGGTGACTCTACCTATGTCGGAGATTCCGATTGAATGATTGATTAGTATTTCATGTTTTAATTTTACCTTCAATTCTCAATTGTAACTTGTAATTTTGTAAACTTGTTTTAATTTTCAAATGTAGTTCCTATTTCATTTCAAATAAATGCACTTGAAGTTTGTTTTTAATACTTGTATAAAACTATAAAGTATAAAATATAAATTATAAAAAAAAATCTTTAACCGGCCCGGCCCGGCGGGTGGCCCGACCCGTGACCCGGGCGGTTGGCCGGCCCGAACCGGATTCGTCCAACCCTCGGGCCGGTCCCGGGCCCATGTGATACAAACCGGCGGCCCAACCGGGCCTAGGCCTGGCCCGGGCCCGACCCGGCCCGAGTCCATGCCTGGGTAGCAATGAGCCTTTCAGGAGAAACCATCCAGCATAGTGGCATTGCTGCTCCACTATCCTCAATGGTAGCTTTCTCATTCAGAAACTCAATCTAATCCTCATTGATGAACAATTTATTGATCTATTGAACACGTGTCAATGCAGAAGATTAATTGACCATGATACCCAACTGTTGCATTGCCGCCCACCATCACAGCAGGATGAAAGGTCAAATGTGTGTCTATCTATATCTAATACAAGTTATAATAAAATGCAAAACTAGGTGCTATGTGCTGCAAACATTAATAACGTATCCATACATGTATGATGGTTGCACTTGGAGCAAGCTACTTTGGAGAAGTCAGCTTGTTTTCTTCAAAGTCATGCTTGATTGTAGGTTCCCCGCCCATCAACTCCAGAAACCCTTCAACCTTTACAGGTTGAGCCCTGACTATTCCCATGTTCCTGTAAAATGATGGATTTAGAGTTCTCAATATCCATCATAAATCATCCAAAAGATTCAGATAGAATCCAAAAATAATACAGAAAGCAAAAGGTTGAGGACAACTGACATCATAGAAAAAAAGTTGGAAGGAATGAAAATGTGGCATGAAAATAAAAGACTAAAACTTGATGCATACGGAGTATATTTTAGATATTTGTTGATACTCATCTTACTTATATATACCTATTATACAAAAATAAGAAAGCTTCTAAATATGTGTAAAAAAAAAATTCAAAAGCATCCTTTATCTTTCTAGGGTTTTTTGAGGTAATGCCAAACATAACTTTCTTTGGCATTGTTTTCCTTTCTGCAGATAGCTTATTTGAGAGAATTAAAAAGAGAAGGGATGGAGCTTACGGTGAGTGAACTTGAGGAATTTGAGGATTAGCCATTGGCCTAAACTGGTTTCCAGTTTGAGGATGGGTGGATTGCATTGCTGCAAGATGTTGCTGGCGCAAATGCATTTCAATTAACTGTGCATTTCTCACATTCAATACATTATTATTATTCATCGGAAAATCACTTGGATTTTCAAGCTTAACTTCAACGAGTGGTCGGTCCTTGTCGATATTAACATTTGCGTTCATACCCATATTAACAGAGCGAGAGGTTGGTTGCTGCCGCCGACGCATTCTTTCCAAGTGCTGCTGGGGTTGCTGTAATGTCGGGTTTTGAGGATTATTATTAATCATATGCATTTGTGCCGGGATCTGCATAGTGAGTAAAATATTTATCATAGAATTGTGATAACAATGAAGTTTGAGTAGCAACAGAAAAAAGAGCAGAACAAATTGTACTCTATCATCTGTGGTGACATGTGGAAGGCAATGGGAATATAAACCAAACAAAAGGCTTTAAAAGTAGCTATTTAACTATGCTGGTACCATTGGTCACTGTATTTCTACAAAATTATAAGAAAATTCCACCTTCAGAGGAAATAAATACCCGATTCAACCCCTCAAGTATATAACTGTTACTCAATTTAGTCTTTAACTTTTTATTAGACTACATTTGACTCTTGAGCATGAAATTTAGGCCCAATTTAGTCCTCAAATATATTTGGTTTCAAATAAGTTATCTTATGTATGCACTCAATCAGACCTAATTTCGGTCTGAATTTGGCTCACATGCTCTCAGCAATCCATTTGTCCCTTTCTAATCTTCATTCTTTCCTTTTCTTGACCTTCCCTACTAGTATTCTACCCGCGCGATGCACGGGAAAAGTTTAATAATATAAACAATTTGTTCATATAAGAACACATATTTTGTCATATCATGTTATATGTGGATGATTTTTTTTTTGCTTACAAAAAATATACTCTATATGTGTCATCGATGTCGACAATTTACACTTTCTAATATACAACAGTCATAACTGCATGGTTGAAAACCATTATTATTTAAACTTGAGATTTTTAGAAATTTGATAGCGGTGTATAACTATTCATATTATAAAATTGGATTATTGAATAACATAGATCCCTTATTTTAGGTCTTGATGACAACTTAGATGTCAATGGTTTTTAGTGTAACTTAATACTTATACGTAAATAATCACTATGGGATAATTAAGAGTTTTTTTCAAAATAATCTTAAAGAAAAAATTATTTACCAAATTAGGATCGAGTTAAAAGTAGTTCACAAAATATTGCTCGAATGAACCTTAATTAATAAATTTAAACCCCTAACTCACTTGTCAACTTTCTCTTAATCGCCAAATTAGGTAGCGAATGTTATGAAGCTAGCAACCGAAAGCTAACAAATCAAATCACTTAGAGCCCGTTTGGTGATCCAGTTTTTCGGTTGATCAGCCTCATCAGCTGACTTTTTCGTCAAGCACATAAATTTTGTTTTTGTGCGCAAAGTTGTGTAATGGTCAACATAAATAAGGTTGAAGTTGCTTTTATGACTAAATTGACTAAAGCTGTTGTAGAGGGCCATTTTAGCTATTTTCAGTTTTTTTCTTCTTTATTTTATGAATAAAATATATTTTAATTATAATTTTTCTACAATTCAGCAGAATCAGATAATTCAACCACTTCATCCAGAACTTCTAATATTTCAGAAGAATCAACCGATTCAACCAATTTTAGTGTTACCAAACGGGCTTTTAATTTGACCCAAATAAAAAAACTCTCTTTTTAAAAATTGTTATAACTATTTTATTTGTAATCTGATTTTTACAAAAAATATATCAAAATTCATAACTTGTAATTAACTTTCATATGACATCAATGTTGCATCTGTAAGACTAAAAGTAAATCTAAAGATACAGTTGGTGGAGGTTTTTAAGTTCAAAATTTTTCTTAATTGGATCCAAGTTCTAAAATTAAGAGTCTGTTTGGTAACAATGAAATTGGTTGATTCTGTTGAAATTGATGAAGTTCTGGTTGAATTGACCAAATTTGCTTAATAATGAAGTAGCCATATTTAAAATATATATTATTAATAAAAAAAAGAAAAATATATATGAGAAATAGCTAAAATGTTCATCTATAGTAACTTCAGTCAAAAAAGTAACTCAAAGCTCACTTATTTTGATTATCATACAATTCATCATGCGAAATAAAAAGTTACGCATTTGGTGAAAAGAATAACTAATAAAACTAATAAGCCAAATATAGGGGTCACCAAATGGGCTCTAAAATTTCATGATTGTATAACGCAGTTTCATTCTGCAATAAGGGCACATTTTATTTATTGACTGAAATTGTCAATAGAGAATGATTGTGACCGTTATATATTCTGTTGATTCGATTTGAATTATTTTTAAATAAAATATTTAAGAACTTAATATCCCCTTATTAACACCTTCAGCCAATAAAAAATGTTCCCTAATTGCAGCATTAAACCGCGCTATGCAATCATGAGATCTTAATTTTAGAACTTGAATGCACTTAAAAATTTATGAGTCTTAAACCCCCTCCACGTATCTGGTCTTCATATTTATTTCTATTTTTATATATGCGATATTTGTGTCATGTGAAAAATGTTATGAATTTTAATTTTCTTTTTATGAAAACTGAATTATAAATTAAAAATTTATAGCGGTTTAAAAGGAGAGAGATTTTTTGAATTTGGGACCCATTGAGTGATTTGAGATTGTTTGCCGCATTCCAGTTAAAAGTGTGCATTATAACATAGCTTTGCATAATAATAATTAAATAATCCGTCATCCCAGTTTAAGATTTTCATGTGTCATTTTATAGACATTTCAACTAAATGTTCTCATTTTTATTCTAGGAAATAATTAGCACTTTTAAATGATAACATAATCACTAAATATTAAAAATAATACATCTATAACATTAAAATTATCACGGATGACATCATTATATGTTATACTCATATAACATTACAATTATCATTCCTTTATTGTCCCTGCAATTGATTATGTGTGTACGTCATTGTTTGAAGTAAACATATTGTAGAGAAAGTAGACGTTAAATAGTAAAAAAAATTAATCCAGATAAAATAAAAGATAAATTATAAAATTTTGAAGGCAACGTAATAAAATTATATTCAGGTAGTATATTAACCATTACTGCGGAGTATATTGAATAGCACCATAACATTCATATATAAATGGCAATATGAAAACAATTATTATTAAGGTCATTTATTATATTCAAAAATGAATGAATACTATAATGACATGTGGCCATGAATGAGCAATAAAATGACATGTGACAATATGATTTTCTCAATGTAACTCTCAATTGTATAATATATAGATATAGATATAGATATAGATTACTACGGAGTATATTGAATAGCACCATAACATTCATATATAAATGACAATATGAAAACAATTATTATTAAGGTCATTTATTATATTCAATAAATGAATGAATACTATAATGACATGTGGCCATGAATGAGCAATAAAATGACATGTGGCAATATGATTTTCTCAATGTAACTCTCAATTGTATAATACGTATATAGATTTTACCTACTCTTTCCTTCTTGGGAAAGGATTTTATGGTTGTAAAAGTCTCTCTCTTATGAGCAAATCTCAACTGTGCAAACTAAAAAATAAGGACTGAGAGTATGTAATTTCCCACCAATCCAGCTCTATGAACGAAAATACTCTTCTTGTCTTAATAAAAGTGAAATATGCATGGGGACTTGTTTGAGTCTGAGTTGCATAGTTGAAGACCAAATCGAGTCCAAAAGAAATTCAAATAACAAACTCCCCCTTGCCATGAAATTGAAACAGACAAAAACAAACTACACTTTTGTAGTAATGTCTATATTACCTGAGGGGTTTGACGGATTTGAATTTGGTGTGGAGCCTGCAACTGTGGTTGAAATTCTTGCAGTTGTTGCGGAGGTTGATGAGTAATATTCCTACTATGATCCTTCACAAGCTCAGCCAAAGCTCCGACATTACTGAAAATGAAGGAGAAAATTGTACAAAATGCAGAGAAAGACAAAATACAAACACACTTGGATTGGTGAGGTCCTATTACAAAGAGCTAATCTGGTTAAGATTGGAATACAATCTTTGTAAAAGTTAACTGATGATTGGGATTTTGAAGCTTAACCGAATAACGGTTACTAATAAAAAGAACATTACTTTCATTTGCCTATGTGTGTTTCAGGAGGGGGGTGTTTCACTAGTGGCAAACACATTGCACTGACCTGTGTCCAGATGTTTGAAGGAACATCTTTAGTAATTCAATGGCCGTACATTGTTTTCTATAGCTATCGGAAAGGAGTTTTAAGTTACGCCCCAATTTAGAAATATGGCAACATAGTAATTGACCCATGACTTCTAATGGGACTTCTGAAGAAGCTTCAAAGCCAATATTTGCTAGGACACAAGACACTACTTTTTGTGACACTTTAGATGCTTGCTCTGATCCAAGCACTCTCTTTCCCCCTTCAAACCCATTCTTTCCACGGCTCCGATTCCCTCCCTGTTCCACGCTAAGGTACTCGGGTCTGATTCCAAGCCTTTCAATCATAATAGAACTCTTTGTCATTATCTGTGGTAAAGTGTCAAGAACCCCTTTAAACTCAAGTTTATTGTTTTCTTGAGCTTCTCTCGAATGAAATGTAGCATTGTCAGGAACACAATTCATAGAAAACATTAGTTCAGGGAAAAAGGGTCCTTCATGATCACTTGGTACTACACTACTTCCATCCGCACTCATGTTTGATTGCTGATCTCCCCGAAAAACTACCCTCCTCCTCTTATGATTCTCAAGAGCTCTTAGATAAGCAGCCATCAGCTCTGGTGTTCTTTTTTCTGATTCCCTATCCCCATAGGACAATTTATGTGGTTTGTTAGGTTTGTATTTCTCAAAGAACTGATCATACCAAGTTAGTGGTAAATCGTCAACCTTAAACCGCTGGGATGTAGGATCAATTTCTGACTCATATCTTGATCCAACACCAAAAGTTGATATAGGTTGAACCTGAAAGCATTTCAGCAAACATTAAAACAACAGCATGTGGAACCTAGCATGATTAAAATATCTACAATTTAGGCTTGCACTGTGATAAGAACTGAAGCAAAACTTTATGTACAAATACTAGGACCAAATTGGGTGCACAAGCAATATTTCCATGGATCAAATGTTAAAAACCAGAGAAAATGTGCTTCCCCTACATATAGCTCTATGATTCATTTCATTTTCATTTTCATTTACCCCAGTGCCACAAAGGCTCCCACCTGCGGTGGGGTAAGGGGGGGTCGGATGTACGCAGTCTTACCCCTGTACTAAAGCACAGAGAGACTGTTTCCGGATGACCCATAGTGAAAATCCCGTCCAAAATTGCATGGACTGACTGCTGCTTCATCACAAAGAAGCGCAGACAGTTTAGTGAGTCATTTTGCTTTATTCCATCATAATCTCAAGCCAAAAAATAATGAATCTTTGGCTCCATTGCCAAAAAATAGTGAGCCATTTTACTTTAAGCCATTTTGCTCCATTACATATAGCTCTATGATTATGTTCCAAATTTTTAGATATGTTTAAACGGGGGTTGATGAATTTTAAGCAAGCAGTGAGGCAACACATCTATCGAAGGCTCATCCAAGGCCAGTTCTCTCAAAATTCCTCTTGCACTACGAAATGCAATAAAGTTTTTGAAATTCTGACCCCATGGCAATATATACTGCATTGTTCCAGTTATAGTCCACCTAAAGTTATTTGTAACTTTTATCCTCAATGTACCGGATTTCACTTTGATTTAAAACAATTTGATATGTGGAATTTGTCTTCCAAAAAAAAAGAAATATTGAATAAATGACAGTAAATTGTATGTCACTGAGGCAAAAAAACCCAACCTTTGCTGACAAAGAATTTGTAGCAGCAGCATCTTGAGAAGAATTCTCCAGAGTGAAATATACATCATCTCCATGTAATTGCAAATCTAGCAAAACACCAATTCTTAATATTGGAATATTATTTTCACAGAAAGAGAATGAAAAATCAATATAACAAGATCTGAACTGCATTCAAGATATTTACAAGCAGACAAACGCCCAGAGAGAGAGAGAGAGTTTATACAATTGGGATTCAGTTTAGAAATTGCAGAAGTCGAAGAAGAAGAAGATTGATCAGAGCGAAGGAACAGAGAGACTGAGGCTTTGTCAAAGAGAAGAGCTCGAGCGCGAAGCTGAAGCTGAATTTGAGCCCTAGTTTTGGAGTCATCTGCTCGCATGAAGGAGTCCCATGAAGTCGGCGAAGAGAGGAAGTGAATGAAGGCTGGGTAAAGAGAATCACCAAGCCATGAGCGCCACACACCGAGGCTCTCAAGCTTCCGGGCCAGCTCATAGCCCCGCCCATTGTCACCGAGTAAAGCAGCCATAATAATCTTCTACTGTCTCTGTCCCCCCCAATTCATCTGCCTGAAATAGAAAATTGTCTCACTTAAAATTGTTAAATACTATCGTACTTTGTAATCCGTAAGTTTTAGTCAATGATTTTTTGTATGTTGGATAAATAGATTTGGGTTTGGCATGAGTGGTGTTTTGTTTGTTAGTGTTTCAATTTTGGCCGTCATTATATGGTTGATTTCTGTTCAAATCAGTGATGGAGTTGCTATAAGGTGTTATATTGTTGTTTAATTGATATCTTTATTTTTATCTTTATATACTTAAAGACACTACGTAAGAGAGAATTTTCTTTCCCACTTAATGCAATTTCATCCTTTTCGCAAAAAAGATACACTCTTCTCCTCTTCCGTTGCAGTCACTTTCTTCTTCCTAAAAATAATTTCCTCTGTAGAGAATTCTCCCGCTTAGCTCAAAGGTTCCTTCCTTAATTTTACTCCAAAAAAGTAATCGCTTCCCTTCCTTGATCTTTCTCTGCTTTCCCTTAGCTTTTCTTCTTCTTCTGTCGAACACCTCCATAGAGATGCTTCGTTTTCATTTTCTTTTAGTACCCGATCAAGAGAGATGCATCTCCCATCTCTTAGCCACGACGGTAGAAGCAGCCGATGCCAAGGGCACATAGAACACTAGCCAGACAAGAGCCTTTCTCACTTCGCCGCCGCCCCATTTCGTATTGTCGATTATATGCCAAATCAGGTTATCTTCCCTAAATTTTATTTTATTTTTACCGTTTTTCGACTCTAAATCAGATTCATGTTCTTCTTTCTCACTTCGCATTTGTTTCATCTCTAGCTCTTTTTAGATTTATCAACTCTGGACAATGAATTCATTGAGTACAACTTCAATGCATAGAGAACACGAGTGGAGCAACGGACAACTCAATCTGATCTCTTTTTAATTTATATGGTATTTTGAAAGTTGATGGAGATGACCCGTTAGACTACTGCCCAACATCACTTGAAGTGAAGAAAATGACTAAGAAAATGAAGGTCATTTTTTCACTTATTACCAATTTAAAACAATAAAGAACTTATCGAAGAAAGTGAGGCCTATCACAATTTCAATTTTATAAATTATAGAAAGAGAAAGAAAAATACTTCCAAAAGTACATTTTTTATTTGGGTCTCTTTTTCTCCTTTCTAAAATTGAATAATGTATGTTTAATTTTCACATTTATTGGTGTGCTCTACTGAGCATGTTACATAACACTCACAATGTAAGAACATACTTTTTTAGTACACTATTAATTGAATGTCTGATTTTTGTAAAAAGAATTAATGCAAAAATCAAAAGACTAATCTTCATCAAATCATATACTTAAGTTCCTAAAAGAGACTCTCTCAAGTCTCTTAATTGGGAACAACTATAATTGTGTTTTGACATTTTAGTCAGAGAAAAAGCCGCAACTTTTATTTACTTACTAATATAGTGGTTAAAAGGACTTGATTTTTTCCTTACCATCACAATGTCTTAAGATAGTAGGCCAAGACGAAAAGAAAAAAAGAAGTCATCATTTTCCTTCTTACCAATGTTTGGTTCAAAATCATAATACAAGGAGTTCAGAAAATAATTGACCAAAAAATGCATTTTTCTCTTCTTGTTATGATTGTCCCAAAGACATTTAACATGAAAAAAAGTAGAGGGAAAAAATTATATTTTTCTCTTTGTTCGTGATTGTGGTTAAAAAAAGCACATACAGAAAAGCAAAAAACTAAAGAAAAAGAAGTGAATTTATTCTCTTCTTACCATTTCTGAGTTTGCAAATCATAGTCACAAAAGAAAACAAAAGAGTAAAGAAAATGAGAAAAAATTGCTATTTTTTGCCTTATTGCCTTATGCCATTAAATTCTTTTAAAATCTTATTCAAAGAAGAGAAGAATTAGAGACGTGTTTCTCTTAGGACATAATTGCATTTTACAAAGTTACCCCATGAAGAAAAGAATTTAGGGAAAGAAATTGAGTATTCTCTAGTTGCCAATTAGCATGACTACGTTCTAATATCATAGTCCAAGAAGAGAAGATTGTTAAAGAAAAAAAGATGGTATCTATTCTTGTAGAGATCTAGTCTTTGGGCAGTAAGAAACAAATAGACAAAATCATAATCCAAGTCCTTTGCTTTAATCTGTTGAAGCCATCATCGGCTAAACAGCTACTGTCAAAAGCATCTACTACTCCTAAATCAATATGTTCTTTGTAAGAAATACATAGTATTTTGAAAGCTGACAGAGATGACCCGCTAGACTGCAAGTTATATCATATACAGAAAAAGACTGAACTCCTTGATCGCCAGCTTTAAGCACCAACTCAACACCACCATCTCAATTGTCATTTATGTGTAAATCTGCGATCTTTGTATGCACTTCAGATGTTATCCTTTGAGAGGCTTTAGGAACATCTGACTTCCTGTAAACAAACCTTGAATTTTGGAAATGATATTGATCACATATGTAGGTGTTTGTTGAGCTTTTGAACAATTTGTCAATATAAAGCAGGAAAAATTTTCAACTCTCATATTCAAGATTCACCAATAGATAGAGATTGTATAGAATAAAAACACATGGCGCATCAAATGGAAATTTTACTGTCCAAACATATCTTAACAATCACTTAAACCTATGTTCTGCATTTAAAGCTTCTAGAAAAGATAGCAGAATCATTTTAAATCATCATCATCATCACCACCATCATTACCGAGTGCCTCAAAGGCTCCCACCAATGGTGGGGTAGGGGAGGTCGGATGTACGCAGTCTTACGCCGGTACTAAAGCACATAGAGGCTGTTTCCAGATGATCCAAAGTGAGAATCGCATCGAAAATATCACAGACTGACTATTGCTTCATAACAAAGAAGCGCAGACAGTTTAGTGAGTCATTTTTCTTTATTCCATCATATTCTTAAGCCAAAAAATAGTGAGTCTTGGCTCCATTGCAAATGATGGAAAATAAGAAACCATACCACCATAAACACAATGTTGTACCACCTACAACAATTGGAACACGGTCCTCGTCAATTATACCTTTAGTAGCTTGCCTCTTGCATCCTCAAAAACATCACAACAGAATAATCTAGTTGCACAAATGTGAGCGAGAAAGAGAAAGTTTTATCATTAAGAAATATAAGTTTAGTGCCAAAAGAATAAATATCACTACAACTCGAGAATTACATATTCAAATAATTGTCCTAATTCCTATCATGGCTTCTTAATTATTTTGAAAAAATCTTATTAAAATATGAGAGTGAGGATGTAAATACAAAATATCTTCACTAACATTATACTATGCAGTATGCAGGTTCTTGCAGAGAAGCAAAATATTGCAATGTGGAAGAGTCTTTGCCCTATTATGCCCAGTTTAGAGCCATTAGAGAATCAAGTATTCAATAAAATATGGTGATGATAGAACACAGATAGAACAAGCTCCAGGTATACAGAAAATTAACTGAAAGATATCAAGAAAACAATTGTAATCTTTATTGAAGAAGAACGGTAACAATGGCCGAAGCCCCCAGATGAGGCAAAGCCCCCCAAAGAAAGAGTCAGATCTCTAACTCCCCAGTCTAAGACAAAGTCTAAACAGCCTACCTACTAACTCCCTTTTCCCAGCTATTTATACTGTCTTTACTTTTATCACTGTTATTATTTCTATTCTGATTCTAATGGGCTTGATTCCTATCAACACCCCCCTAAACATCCACCTTGTCCTCAAGGTGGGGAAATAGGAACCAAGCTTTAAATTCAGCTTCCTCCTGATGCCTCTCCCTTCCCAGTACCACGCTGATGGTGGTATCATATGTTCCCATACTTCTAGTCCTCTAGATGAAAACCTGTTGACCAGCCTCAACATAGCATGTGCCTCTGACTTCATCCTATCTCTTGAATAAGCTTGTTAGCAATAGAAACTTGGCTGGAAGTTAAATCCACATCCTCTGCAAGATTGGAAGAAACATAATTTGGCGATTCTGGCCATTGAACAACCTATCTTTTCTCCTTGATTTCATCTCTCTTATTCCCTTGCTTGATTACAGGTTCAGTTGGTTCCATCTGGTTTTTCTTGGTTCACTGGTAAGTTCCTAACGATGGGTGAGACATTTGTGAACGAGAAGTTCTTGGTGACCTCGATGACTCCTGTTTGGCTATCTTCCTTGTCTTCTGCCGATGTCGAGGTGGAAAATCCCTAATCAAGTCTTCCTTTAGAGCCTTCCAACTATCTTCTCTCTTTTGAAAATCCCACCATTGAAACCAACCATCTGTGGCTTCCCCCATTGCCTTTGCTGCGAAGTCAACCTTAAATTTTTCTGCAATAGCTTGGACTCGGAAATAGCTTTCCATCTTCTCTATCCATTCGTACGCTTCATCCTCGTAGAATAGAGGCAATTCCTCCGTCTTTGAATTAGTTGAATTCCTAGAAGCGACTTTAGACGAAGAATGCGAACTATGAAAATTCTCAAACGAAGGAGAAGATTCTCTTATCGATCGCGTCTTTCTTGAATGTGAATCGATGGCCGATGAGGAATTATGCGAACTCTGATGCGAAGAGCGATGATAAGAATGATGAGAAGAACTCAAAGAGTGATGTGAAGAGCTTTGTGAAGAAACTATTCGCGGAGGAGGCTTACTGTTCCTCTTTCTGTCTTCTGATGCCTCTAGATTAGTGGAATGTTGCATTCGTCGATGATGAGAATTGTGATGCGATGATGAGGGAGACTGTTTGCGTCTGCGAATGGTGAGAAGATATTCGCGATTGCAAAACATGAGAAGAAGTTCGCGACTCCTTCCGCGAACTGTTGTGCGATGGCGACGAACGTGGAAACGCAGAAGACCGGCAATTTTTAGGGCTCCTTGATCGACGTCTGCTATGATATTGGTCCATACTGTTCAACATCTCTTTCATCTTGTTCAACGTAGCTTTCATCCTCGCTTTCATCTCCGTCATATGTCGATCTATATTGTCAAAACTTTTTTCCATTTGTGGTGTCAAAATATCCTCCATTATTCAGATTCTCGGTTTCCAGGAAATAACGTGCTCTGATACCACTGATAGAACACAGATAGAACAAGCTCCAGGTATACAGAAAATT